TGACACTTCTCTGGCCATTATCTCGGTAACCGTTCAACTTTGGACATAGGTGTTTTGGGTTATATCGGCATGCTTTAACATAAGGAACACCCTCCCGAAGTTTGGTCCATTCCTCCTGGGACATCCTGTATATATAGTGTATGACAAAATAAGAAAATACTGTAACGTGTTTCTGCAACTGAAGACGCCTGTATATATATATATATATAGTGTATGAGAAAATAAGAAAATACTGTAACGTGTTTCTGCAACTGAAGACGCCTTTCGGATTGTTAATTGGTTTATTTAACAAACTACAAGTCGTAACTACAATTGATTATAACACTGTTGCGGGGTTTCACACTTTATAACCCTACACAATAATCAATTCACTGTATCCTCAGTAGTCTACATGTTACTATAACGCGGGAGTTATACAAGTGTAACTTAATTACTCACTCCCAATTACTTTCTCAGTTCACAAATTATCACTGATTATCACACACGTGTTCGGTTCTTCTTTCGCTACTGTTAGATTCCAGCTCAACTCGTAGGCTGCTACGCTTTAACTGTCTTTGGGGATGGCTACACTTTAACTCGCTTCGGCGGCTGTGTAGTTCCCTTATAAACCCTCAGCCGGACAACGGGAAAACGCCTCGCTTCCTTGTTGCCTAGTCGCCGTGTTTGCCGATAGCCTAGCAACGCTGCCGGGAGTTGTTTACGGCTACGTAGCAACTGCGGCGTCCCGTGTTATGTCACCGCGGGGAGAGACGGGCTGTTGACTGGCTTTGCTTAGCAACCGCTCTTTACTCGCTTTGCATAGCGACCAGCGTGCTTTGACTCGGCTCACTTCGGTTCCGTTCGGCACGTCACGGCTGGCGGGGAGGGAGGGGCGTCATCCATAGCGCAACACGTCACAATACGTTAAATTTCACGGTTTGCTGTCGAAGTAAACTGCTTCATGTTTAATTATACTTTATTGAGGACAAAATTAATATTTCCTTATCTTATATAGAGAATTCCTATATAGGGAAACATTAATCATTCTTAATAACTATATATGTGGACGCGCCATGGCTCAAGCAGTTAGTCGCTGGCTTCCCACCGCGGCGGCCCGAGTTCGATCCCGGGTCTGGTCAAGTGGGATTTGTGGTGGACAAAGTGGCGATGGGGGCAGGTTTTCTCCGAGTACTTCGGTTTACCCTGCCAATCTTCATTCCACCAATTGCTCCACAATCACCCTCACCTATCATCTGGGGCTGGTACAATAGGCCAGAAGTGGCCGCAGTACAAGGGACTTAGTTCCACCCCACTAGCAATAAAAAAATAATAATATCTATATAGCCACGAAGTTTTACGAATATGGCCACCAAAGTATGGCCGTCAAGTATGATGTTTAAAATAATCAGCAGAAATTACTCGCTTGTGTAGTCTGACATTTCACAATTTACATCTGAAAGTGCACCTCTTTTGTAGCAGTTACTATGTTAATTATTGAAATAATTATGTAGTTAGCTATACGCAACTATCGTGGATTTTATTTACTAAGAAGACATCGCAAATTATTCCTTTCGAATTCATCGACACGTAAAGCGTGAAAATACAGGAGAGGAAACCCAACTGTCACCTGAGTGCTGAAGTGTAATATCTTTCAAGACAAATTTTCAGGAAGTTTCGTCTCAAGTAAAGGAATCGATTACAGTTTAAATGTAACTTGGAACAAAACACGTGACCTCAATTTCGCCAGTAAGGCAAACCTTTATGGAAGTATGTGGCGATATTGCGAGACAGTAAGCAGAAACAGAGAATTGTATTAACTGGTTTCCTCCAAGACTGGAAGTAGATCACTGAAATACTCAGGCGATGAAAGGTACAGCTCGGTGATGCAGTAAAGGAATGGGGCTCATTAAAGACATCAAAGACTCGTGTTAATTGAAGTGAGGTCGAAGTCAACATTCTGCGTTTAAAACCAATCCTTCTGGGACACTTATTTTTGGCCCTGAAGTTACTCCTATACTTAACTTATAATTAGAAATAAGTTTTTATTCTATACTTAATTAGTGTTCACTTAACGCTGGGTGCGTATTCCTGATACAGAGCCTCTTCTTAGCAGAATTTTTCGCAATGATATTCTTGAAAGTGACATGTAGTTCTGCGCGGACCTGGTTGTCTTCCGGACTGTGACGTTGTTCCAGAACCACAAATCAGAAGGAACAATTGCGATGCGTTTTCGTCTTTTAGTCCAAATATTTCCAAATTCTTTTAGTTTGACGCTCGAATAAAATAAAAAATTATGAGTTATTCCGAAACGCGCGGTAGCGTATTTGGTTGAGGAATGTTGCTACAACTCGGGAGGTTGCTGGTTCGATTCCCGATGAGGTCATTGGATTTTACCAGTGACATAAACCTTCCAACCGCACTCTAACACACTGGGGTTGACTCAGCCTCTAACAGAAATGAGTACCAGGAATCTTCCTGAAGGTAAAGTGCGGCCAGCGTGTAAGGCTGACAGCCTCACCGCCATCTCTAAACTTATTGTCTAGAAAATGTGGGAGCCTCGACGTCTCACAACCCTATGGGCCTCCACGGCCTGTTACAGGGATAGCTTTACTTCTTTATTTTACCTTATATTTATTTAATTATTACTTATAATACAGTTTTCTTTAATTTTTATTTATTTTGTATTTGTTACCACAGATCAATGATCACAGATCTAGTTTGATAGAGTTAAATGGTATTGTGGCGTGTCGCCAGGAAGGCCGGATCGTAGAACGTCCATTGCTGTTCAACAACTGGCAATTTTTAGGAAACAAAATATAAACAGACCGTTTCCTATGGGGGTTCTTGAGCAACAAAGATCTAATTGTTGAGTTCCCACAAAAACAAATGCGCAACAATAGGGCGTCCATTGCTAGGCAATGCATGGGTAGACAGGTCTGACAATACATGATATCCGTTGCCGAGCAACAATGTGTTTTCTGTGGGTGGTCCATGCCGAGTCTATATAGGGAGCAGTTAACCAAGAAGAGTTAAGATTCATCGAGCGATAAGGGAAGAACCAAAAACGAAGGCTCCACTGAGAACAATAGTGCAAGAGTGCAGCCATTGAAGAGGGGACGTGAAAGGCTTTCCTGAAATTGACGATAATTGTGAGTGTAAAGGAATAATTGTCCAATAAACGTTCGTCTAATTCGAAACCCATCGTTTCTTTTCGCGTTACCTAGGAAACAAGTGACAGTATGTTAATATGTGTTACATCTTGTAGGCCTATTACAGTTTTCCGCCAATTAACTTCAGTATAAATATGTCTTGAAAGAAAACACAGTCTAAAATCTCACATTTGCAAGTAAGGTAAATGCACGAAATACGTGGACAGAGTGAAACAGTACGGAAAATAAGTGAAATGTACTGTCTGATTTTCGCCCAAAAGTGAAGATAAAACAGTCAAGTACTCTGATTACAAATTGGAAATACGTTGTGGTCACAGCACTTTAAGATTCTATGCGTACTGCAAGGGTTGTCTTGTGATTCCATAGTCCATAGTTATTTGATTTACCTTCAACAAACGAGTTCAGTAGCACGAATCTGATTTAAAGACACCCAAGGAAACAACAGCCGGTCACGGTAGCCGAGCGGTCTAAGGCGTGCACTGTCTTCCCTTGCTCGGAAGCCGGGATCGTGGGTTCGGATCTGTTTCCTGCGAGGTACGAACTGAATTCTTATATATTATTCTTATACACTGCCGGTCACTGTAGCCGAGCGGTCTAAGGCATGTACTGTCTTCGCTCGCTCGGAAGCCGGGATCGTGGGTTCGAATCCCACTCAGTGTATGGATGTTTGTGTACAGGTAGAGGTCTTGCGACGACCTGATCACCCGCCCAAGGAGTCCTACCGTATGTCTATGATCTAGTAAAATCGAAGTGAAACGGGGAGTTTCATGGAGGTAGGCCTAGGCCATAATGAGGGCTGTATAGCCAATGAGAAAAGAAAAAGAGAACAACATCCACCTCGATCTTTCAAGAGCAGAGTAGTAAATTGCCACTAGGCCTTGCCAGCGCAGTTATTCTTGATTTCGAGCCCCTCGGGACTCATGACCTAATTTTCGTTTCTTCTAAGACCACTTACATGTCAGCTTTTCGAGGAGGGGAGAAGTTTGCCTTTTCTGTGTTGGCGCCACATTTTTTGATCCGTATTTGTCGATCTTTTCAACGACCGAATGTATCGAGGTATATGTTGATGATAGCCCGTTGGGATGCCCTGCCATCTGCAGTCATATCTGTGAACTGTGTTGAGTTGTGTTGCCACTAACCTAAAACTTTCCTTTCACTTTTTCAAAGGGAATCAACTATTAATGTAAATTATATCCATTATATTCTATCATATACTGGTAATTTTGTAAAATTCTTGTGATATCGTTGCCAATTAAAATTGCCTAAGGATGCAAGTTGTGTGTTTTCTACGTTTGGTTACGTACACGTGTACAACTTGCATGTATTGGCAGCAATGTCAGTGGAACTGAAAACACAGCAGTTTGTAACGACATTAGAGTAGCTGATGTACGTAGTAGGTTGGATTGGGCTGGATGGCGGTAGAAAAGGTGTTTGCATTCGATCTCGGCGTACATGTGTTTGTGTGAAAGACCTTTAAAGGAATAGGTGTTAATTATTTTCTCATATTAACTGATCATCATATTAGTGAACATAATTTTAAATCAAAATGTGGCTTCTCGTGTTATTTTGTATGTCACAGAAAGTACTGACAAACAGATGAAGATGGAAGATGATGCTGATATTAGGGAGCAGATATTTCACAATACCGTTCGGGAGAATATTGTAAGTTGACAGTTGTGTTTGTGCAGTATTTTGGTATTTCTTGGTTTCATATAACACATCAGTGTTCTTCCTTTCGTAGTCATAACCTTATATATTTACTCGAGTGTTTATTATCAACCCGTCTTTCTCCATCAAATCGAAATTAATCTTTTATGAAAATATTGTTCACCCTATTCTTATATTTCTTACCCGTATGTGTGCTGATTTATGAGTGTAAATTTATGTAACCGTAATGCATGGGAACATTTTTATTTCCCAAAAATAACACTCTTTGTGAACGGAGAAGTTCATGGAGGTAGGCTAGGCCCACCGGGGCTGTAGTGCTAAGAAAAAAAAATAACACTCTTTGGCTGGTCTTAATTAATTAAGCAATTATGAAAATGCGACCCACTTGTCTAGAGTTGTCAGTAACAGAGACTTGTCAATAGCCCACAGAACACAGTACATAATTTTTGTTGTGGTAGGTATTACTCTTCTTTATTCTTAATTAATTTTGATACCATACAAGAATTGGTTGGGTATTCTTGGGTTAGGTAACTTCCTCTGGGACCATAAATTGAAACTGGAATTAGTGGCATTAAAATAATATTACAGTGCTTGGCATTGGGTTATATGCTTTGGGGTCAATTCCTGTTATAGTCAAAAGATTTTTTTCTCCGCCTATGTTCTTACCAGCTTTATCTAGTCTACCATCAAATGCGTACTGGGTTGTGTCCCTGGGATACAAGCACTCATGGCATAGGTAAGGTAAAGTTGCCATGAAGACATGGGAGAGTGGATGTATAGATCCATATTTTCTAGACCTCGGCACTAGTTCCAGGAGAGCAGTCAGCTTCACTTCCCGGCCGCTTTACCCCCGGGTAAAGTGCCCTGGTACACATTAAATAGGAGGCTGGGTGGACCTCAGAGCTATCCCGGCTCCCAGTCATGGCATAGTGCACACCTAAATACAGGGACAGCTCAATGCTACTTTCAAGTAATGAGTGGTATGCTTTCTGCCTTGTTTAAATTTTCATGATAATTAAATCACATTTTGTCGGGTACAGTTGAAACAATTTGCTTGCCACATCACTTCATTAAGAATCTTGCTGCTGTGTATTACACTGCAGGTCTCGGACAGTAAATATTTCACAGTTTGCCTGTCAAACGTGACCTCTTGACACTGGAATCATTCCACAAAGTGTATATTAATACAGCTCCTGTAAATTATGATGGCTAAAGAATGTTAGTGTATTCTGCAGGCAGTGTATTATTATTGTTGTTGTTGTTTGTTTACTTGTCTGCATTATTGTGTTTTTCCTCCAGTGCTTTCCTGTAATTTGTCTTTGATTTTATGTAGTGTTTGTCCATAATATAATTACTTGTATCTACAGTGCGATGTCTGTAATTGGCCTTGTGGCTGTTGACTCGGCACATAAATAATAAAGAATTGAATTGAATTATTATTATTGGCCTATTTTCTGTATTCTGAAAGCATAAAAGAAGGCTTAAGAGATCTCTTTCCGGACTCTGTGTCAGTGTATCCCATCCTACCATTGCTAGGCATTGGCTCGGTATACACGTTCCTGCGGCAACGATTGCACACGCAACAGTAGTATTGTTGAAAGTGTCTTTTTTTTTTCTATGCCCACAATGTCGTATCAAAGGAAAGTATGTGACAAATTCTTCCAAGAAATTATTGTCATTGTTGTTATTATTATTGTTTTCAATTTTAATGCCAACTTTGGAAGGTGTCGCGTGGTCAGCGCAAGTTGGCACTAACTTCGCCGACAAGCGGCGGTCGCTCGGTCGGTATAATTCGCTTGCGGGCTCAAACCACGGAGTTGCTTTTGTTTTGTTTGTATTATTATTTCCACTTCATACATGAGAGGGAGGAAATGGAAAGTCTCATAAATGTCTGCTGCTTCATTATTTTCATTAGAAAGAATTATAATAAAAGAATATAGTCTTGTTGATTCTTGGTTTAAATACGTGTGAACATACAGGAATTAATAGATCCAGCGCCTCTGTCACTGCCCCTGTTAGACAGTGCAGTGTTTTACAAAGCTGCTAGTGGCACTGCTGTGTTTGTATGAGGATATTTGAGAACAAGTTACTGAGGAAAATATTTGGTCCGAAGAGGGATGAAGTGGCAGGATATTGGGGAAAACTGCATAATGAGGAGCTTCATAACTTGTACTCTTCTCCAAGTATAATTAGAATGATAAAGTCAAGGAGGATGGGGTGGGCAGGGCATGTAGCACGAATGGGGGAGAAGAGGAATGCATGTAGGATATTGGTGGGAAAGTGAGAAGGAAAGAGACTACTGGGAAAACCAAGGCGTAGGTGGGTGGACAATACTAAAATGGATCTTAGAGAGGATGGGATGGATTGGATTCATCTGGCTCGGGTTAGGGACCAGTGGAGGACTCTTGTGAACACGGTAATGAACCTTCGGGTTCCATAAAATGCTGGGAAATTCTTGAGTAGCTGCAGAATTGGCGGCTCTTCAAGAAGGGCTCAGCTCCTAAGTAAGTAAGATAGTAATATACAAAATGTAGGCTTATGAAATCAGTATTCTGTTTGTTAATGGATCATGTTCAATTTTGGAACCGTCACACTAATTCTCATGAAAATTTGCTGTGAACAATGTGCCATATGAGACCACCCCAACGTTGTACTTTTTAATTTCTTGCAGTGACTAATAACAGCATGGCAGACGCACAAACTTATGAGGTGCAAGAGTCACAAGTGTCACTTGATGTAGGAATATGAAATTACAGTTAAAGGGGCTTTGAACATATGAAACTTTCATTTATGCCGTTTCTGTGCAGAGTGTAAAACGACCGCGTAGTGACTGAGCTAAAACATTTCATGTGGGTGTCAGCGATAACCAACTAGTCCTTGAAATAATCGCCTACTTTCAGAGTCAGAGTTACTTTACAGTTGGCTTCCCACCGCGGCACCCGGGTTCGATCCCGGGCCTGGTCAAGTGGGATTTGTGGTGGACAAAGTGGAGCTGGGGCATGTTTTCTCCGAGTACTTCGGTTTCCCCTGCCAATCTTCATTCCACCAATTGCTCCACAATCACCCTCACATATCATCTGGGGCTGGTACAAGAGGCCAGAAGTGGCCGCAATACAAGGGACTTAGTCCCACCCCACTAGCAATAAAAAATATTTTACGACTGCTGGTTTACCGCCAATCATTTCGTCTTGGCGACAAGCCCCTTTAGACTCACGACATAGTAATGTTATTTTCCAACTGAACACTTGCGGTTAAAGTCCTTATGTATCATCCTCTCTGACGAGAGGATGGGTCTGTCGTTTACAATTGCTGCTGGACCTCGCCAGCGCAGCCATTCTCATGTCCGAGCCCCACATTTTACTGTCAGATTCGAGACTCCCTCAACTTGGAAGGCCAGATCCCCAGGAATATGATGGTCCGGTTATACCCCCAGGCACTGGTTTCTCCTTTCGTCGCCTCCTACGACTCCACCTACGATGGAGGTATTCCACCCCACCTCCCCACGCTTCCTACTTTCCTTTCACTACATATTGAGTATTTGATACAACATGGACCTCACAGAAAACACCGATTCCAAGAGTTACTCAGTTGTTTCGTTTGTATTGTGCGGGAACATGGCTACCGAGCCGGTACTAAGCGACGTTAGGAGGGACACACAGGAAGATGATTTCGCGTACCTCTTTTTATTTAATCAAAATAAGAAAATTGGGCTAATGAACCCTTGTAACTAGGAATATGGAATTTGGTATGATGATAAAGCGTTAACATATTGCGACATTCAGCCTACAAGCCGGAATATTTGAATCAGAGTATCGTCGGAGAGGCGTTCGTTGCTACGCAACGGCTTGTGAAAACTTGGTTACGCACACAACAGTAGAGGAGCTGTTGGGGGCGGTGTTTTCTATTCTGTTCATCGAAGAAGAGACCAAATTTCAAAACACGCAAGTTCTCTTGGAACGTATAAAAAAATTGACGTAGAAGCAACAATTACTGTGCTGATGAAGGCCAGCAGCAAAATACTGTTCGGCGCAACCAAAATATGCATATAAAAGAATCTGTAAGATAAATATGTAAACTCTTTCAAATAAAACAACAGCCAGATAGGGACTGATATTAAAATTCGTGTATTTAATGCCGGACTCCTGACTAGAAGTCACTTTGCATTCGAAAGCATTAGCGACCGGCCAACTCTATCAAAGTTTTCCTCGGTCCTAGAGCAAATAGTGAGTTGGAACCCAAATTCCACGTTACACTTCATGCTTAACATGTAGCCCTCCCAATTGTACGTAACATCAAAATGTCACCGCAATTTAGCCCTCCCAACGTTAAATCAAAATTTCACGCAGCCCTTCCAAATTTGATATCAAAATTAATTTCGATCGTCGGAAGTAAAGCCCCAGCTCAGCATTTCCTCTCCTCGTAACATCGTAATTACTTCCCAACGCTACTAATACCCTCTCTCAGACGTAACTGCTAGAAGGACGAGCGGGCATTGCTTCAGAACCTTCAAAACCCCGTTGAATGTTTCTGTAGGCAGTCAGCTCACAGATGGCGGTGAGGTTGTCAGCCTTACGTGTCGGCCTCCCTTTATCCCCAGGAAGATTCCTGGTACTCATTTCTGTTAGAGGTTGAGTCGACCTCAAGGCCATATTGCGACTGGAAGGATTAGAACTCCTCAGAAATCGAACCAGCGACCTTCCTGCTTGTAGCATAGTGCCTCAACCAAGTACGCGTGCCCAGTGTGACCCAGTATTCGAGCTGATAGTTTTCTTTCTATGTTATAAAATGTTTTTGTAACTTTGAGACAGGGAGTGAGGATAGCGACGGGCTACGGGCCGGAAAGCCGGTTTTCAAGAGGGACGTGAGATTTTTCTCAACTCCATAAGGTCCAGACCGGTTCTAGGGCCCACCCAGCCTCCTATCCAGCGGGTACCTGGGGATTTTTCTCTTGGACGGGGGTAAAATGGCTAGGACGTGAACGTGTGACCACTTAC